TTCAATTTTAATCACTTTGTTCCCTAATTTGAACTTTTCTTATTACACTTTAGTCCTTGTCCCCAAGCTTTTTAAAGAGCGACACTTAAATTTTAAATTTTCTAATTTCATGTATTTTAGTAAATTGTTATATAAATAATAAAAATTACACAAAATTCAATAAAATCACATTCCATTTATCCAAATATCAATAAAATTAAGACTAAAATAGTAAACTAAAATATATAAAATACATCTAAATAAAGTGAAAAATCAATCTTTGATACCTAATTTAGGATCCTTAAAAATAAAGAAGAGATATTTAACTCTCTACATGTACATAACTCATAATATATATATATATGATCAAGAAAAAGGTAAAAAGGAGATGCTTGCCCTAATTTCCTTGTTATACACTTATAACCTTAGAAACAATACCCAAAATTATCATCAATCCATAATATTCATACAACTACATTTATCCTGCACTTATAAGTCATATCCATATTATCTACAATTTCATCATTTTAGTTGGAATACTTCATAAAATTTTAAATTAGGTATAAAAGATTTTTTAGGACAAGTTAATATAAAAAACTTGACTTTGCACATTGATAATATGAATTTTTATATATTTTAATTTACCATTTTGAGTTTAATTTTCTTGATATTTGAATGGATTGAATGTGATTTTATTAGAAATTATATGGTTTTTATTATTTATGAAAAATAATTGAATTGCATGAAATTAGAAGTTTTGATACTTAAGGGTAATTATTTCAAATATTTAGAGATTAAATTGTAATAATAAAAATTGAAATTAGGGACTAAATTGAATAATCTAAAGTTTGAAGATCAAAGTGGAAGTTAAGGACCAACAATGTAATTTTACCGTTAAAATTTAGAGGATTTTAACGGCCGGCTGGGTGATGATGTTATGATGTCTGTTAACGGAAGGATTATATGGTTGGTTCTCGCTCCAAAATTGAGTAATTTTTATGAATTCTTTCAAATTAGAGAGATGATAATGATTTTTTTACTAAGTTGGAGAATTTTTAGTGATATTAAGCATTTTCTTAATAGGCATTCATCAATTATTTCATCTAGTCAGATTCTTTATGGCTTATATGTGAAAAATCAAATAACTCGGCAGTTGAAACAACAAAACTAAAATGAAAAAGGAGCTCAACCTAAAAATGCCCAAAAATGTTGGACTGCACTGCAAGATTAAAGAGATGACTAATATGCGTTAATGCTCAATGATCCTCAAACTTTGAAAAGCAATCAAGAGAGTCCTTAAAGAATTCAATTTGTTGATATGATCCTACAATTTTTGAAAAAGAAAAAAAATCTAGAAGTAACATATTTATTTATGTCACCATTATTATTGTGGTTATTCTTTTCCCTTATCTCCATGATTTTTAGGCGATTTGTCTGAAACTCCCCTTAATTGATCAAATGACAAAAATAACCTTCCAGATCGATATAAATGAAGCAAAAGGAAGCGTTTCTTCCTCGTCCCGTCTCCTCCTTCTATTGCATAAACTGCCAGACAGAACCTTTGCTCCGCATTTGGTCTTCGCTCTGAAACCAGAGAAAATATGGCCCTTCCGGACGAGTTGGAAGCTCTAACCAAAGCTTTCTCAGGTTCTTCTTCTCTCCCTTCTCGTTGTACCGTGATCGATTCTTAAATTTTCAACAGTTTATATATTAAATTAGAAGAAACAAATATATATCATAATATATGTTTGCATCTGTTAATTTACTGATCAGGTCATGGAGTTGAGGAGAATGCATTGATCTCCATACTGGGAAAATCACACCCTGAGCTTCGGAGAGGTTTCAGGAAAAATTCCCCATTTTTCCTCCAGGATGAACGCCAATTCGAGCGATGGAATGATGTTTACGTCGAACTTCTCGAACAAGAGTTCCTGCGATTCAAGGTAACACAGTAATTTATGCATACAACGTAGGAAAAACAAACACACACACACGCATATATTTATATATTCAGATTCAAATTTAAAAATAAAAATTAGTCGAGATGATGGGGTTGTGTTGGTGTTAGGATGCTGTTGTGCTTTGGATCACGCATCCTTGGGAAAGGGATGCCCGTCTGATTAAAGAGGCCTTGTTAGAGGGCCCTCATCAGTACGGTGTTATTGTGGAGGTTGCATGTACCAGATCGGCTGAGGAACTACTGGGTGCAAGGCGGGCTTACCATTCCCTCTACGATCACTCCGTTGAGGAAGATGTTGCTACCCACATCCACGGCCGCCAAAGAAAGGTGCTTGTAGTCTTGTCCATTACTGGGCCCCGAATTCAATTCACTTCTGGTTTGTTAATTTATTGGGCTTTGTTTATTGGGTCTGACCCATGAAAGACTGTCTATCTTAATCCTAATCCTAATCCTAATCCTGACTGTCTTGTCTTGACTCTTGAATGAAACAGCTCTTGGTGGCCCTGGTGAGTGCTTACAGGTATGAAGGGCCAAAGGTGAAGCAAGATGAGGCAAAATCTGACGCCACAAAACTTTCCCATGCAATTAAAAGTGCCAATAAGCATAAGCCTATTGAGGATGAGGAGGTCGTAAGGATACTAACAACCAGGAGCAAGCTTCATCTCAAGGAAGTCTTTCAACACTACAACCACATTTGTGGAAAGAGCATAATTGAGGTGCCTAACCTAACATAACACGAATTCGTTATTAACAAATGCATAATATCACTTTTGAAAAAAAGTTAGTTGTTAAAACATGCTCCTGCTTTGTTTAGAATCTTGCTGGAGATAACTTCCTCTTAGAAGAGACTGTTGAATGCCTGTATACACCTCATACATTTTTTGCCAAGGTATGTATGGTTACTTGAAACTTGATTTTCAAGTCTTAGAACATGGGAATTGAGTTCTGATGATTTTTGATTTTCCAGGTTTTGGATTCGGCTCTAAAAATCGATGCAGATAAGAATGCGAAAAAAGCTGTGACTAGAGTGATTGTCTCTCGAGCTGATACAGACATCAAGGAGATCAATGAGAAGTACCATAAACAGTTTGGAGTTTCTTTAGAGAAGAAAATTAAGGACACGGCTAAGGGGAACTACAGGGATTTCTTGCTTTCCTTGTTAGCAAAGGGGAACTGATTAATTGTTGGAGAAAAACGATGCATTTTGTGTCTTAATTGTGCTCCCTGCTATGTTTCCCCTGTTCCCCTTTCTTTTCTCACAATCATTCTCTTTTGTATTTGTAATGATTTGAGTTTTAGATACTCAGATCTTTTCAATAAATATAGTGATTTGAGTTTTAGATACTCAGAACTTTTCAATAAATATAATGATTTGAGTTTCGAATTCTCTGATCTTTTCAAAGTTCATAATGTTTTTAGAAATTTTTTGTGAATAAGATAAGAGCAAGGAAAACATCCACTTCAATTGAGACAATCTTGACTCAAAACACTTAGTTCATACCATAACCAAGAAAAACAAGAACTCACACGAAAAACATCCAATTAAAACCAGCAGCATACTTTAGGTTATTGAAGACTGCATTGATGCTTCGTCTCTGACATCTAAGATTTTAATCTTCCTTCCCAAGGAGAGTGAGAAGGAAGGCCTTGTACTCCCCAGAGGTGTCCTTAGCAACAACTTGCTCAAGGGGGACACTGTTTCTCTGGTAGTAAAGCTCCTTGATATCCTTCAAGTCTTTCTCTGCCCTTGTCACAATCGCTCGTGTAAGTCCATCTTCATCTGTTCCAAACTTTTTGATGGAATTGCGCAAAACCTAGATATTCAATGCACAAAATTTCATCATATGAGTTCAGCTTTCGTTTGTTGGATACATGTTAACACAAACCCTTTAAAGACTTAACCTTTTCAAAGTACTTCTTTGGATCATTGATGCATCTAATTGTAGTGCGCAGCGCTTCTAAGAATTGATCACCTGATTCACCCAGCTGCAAATTCTGAAGACAACAATAACAAAGAAGAGAAGAAAACAAAAACCAATATTAATACTCAAAAACTGTTTCCAAAACTGAAGCTGAAACTCTGCATATCAGTATTGTGTGCCTTAGTGATGGAAGTGCCATGATCATCCCTATAGCGATTGAAAGTTGCCATGAGCTGAGTCTTGCTCCTTGTACTAACAATCCTAATAACATCTTCGTGATTAAACTCCTTCTTTGTGATAGCATTATGAAGAATATCGGCTTCTGAATCAGCAAGTCTGGCATTAATCTCCTCACCATCATATCTAAATGCACTCACCAAGGCAACAAGCAGCTGCAACATTCAAAACATCTTGTTAAGTAATTTCGTCGAACACAAGAGGATGTTGGGTTATTGTTCGTCAGAAACTTACCTTACGCACATCGCCAGAGGTATGAGCAGCGACATCCTCCTCCAGGGAACACTTGTAGCGAGCTTGGTAGGCCCGCCTGATCGCCAAGAGCTCCTCTGGTGATCGAGTGCAGGAAATTTCAATGACAACATGGTAATCAGCAGGCTTAGTTTTCCTGATGGCTACATGAGCCAAGACAGCATCACGATCCGCAGGATCCAATATCCAGCGGTACACAGCTCTCTGTTTTCCAACAATAAAAAATCCCGGATTAAAATCAAAGATCATAGATAAATAAGCATGAAAATATGACTATGTATATGTTAAAACTAATTACCTCGAAATCACCGGAGAGCTCAGATTCAAGACGCTTGATAAGATCTTCTTGATAGAGCTGCTCATAAGCAAGCCTGATTTGCATCCTCTGAGCTGCATTTCTGTGACCCAGTATTGAAATTATAGCCTTCTCATTAGTCCCCCACCCTGGAGCAGAAAAAACATGCCTCAGTCACTATAAAAGTGTATAGAAGAAACAACATCTTAAATCAACAATATGTTTAAGAAAAGTTTTTTTTTTTTTTTTTGCCCTAAATTAACATCAACAATTAAAAGGCATGTTAGGATTGAAAACGTATATATGCAACCTTGACAAGCCTTCCTGAGAGCTTCTGCATCTTCAACAGCAGAAACCTGATCTGGGACAAGGATGGTAGCCATTGTTAAAGTAGCACACTAACTAGCACTCTTTGTTTTCTTCTAATCGAAGTGAAGGTAGCTAGCTATGTAAAACCTTTCAGACACCATAGACTTATATAATACTAACGAGGCTATTGCAATATCTTCAATATAAAGATTGCAACAAGAATTTGATTAAATTAATACTCGTTTTTTAAAATTTTGATTTTAAATTAAGATTAAATATTTAAATTTTTATGATATCAGGCAATTAATACTCCAATATACCAAATATACATAGAAGAATTTATTTATATACAAATTTTATATATTACATTTACATAAAATTTTAATAATTCATTTATTTACTTGTAATAATTAAAATTTATCATAATTTTAAATAACCTTGTATTTCCTTCTCCTTCCTCACTATTTATCTCAAATTAAGTTGACTCAAAGAATGTATGCATTTGAAATTACTGGATCATGTTGTGATTGACAAAATATTATTAGGATTTTCCGGTTGATAAATTCTCTGATATTTTAAAAGAGAAGAGAAAACTGTTGATTGCATTAAGAAACAAAAGAAGAGAAACTTCTCTGCAAACGCAATTTTTGTACAATTGTGTGGTGAATATCAAAAACTGAAAAAGAAAGAATTCCCAATTCAATGCCAGGGTGGAATCAAAGTGGTACAATATATCCAGAACCTAGTCGTTTTACCTTTTTACTAATACATTAATGAGCTCATATTTTATGTTTAAATTATATTAAATTATAAAATATTAATTATTGAATTAATTTTTTTTTTTTAACTTTTTGTCATGGGTCGGGTTCGAAACCTGACCAAGGGAAGGGGATATGCACTTATATCAATGGCACTAGCCATCGGACCACAAAAGCCAAGTGCTATTGAATTAATAATTTATTGATTTAAATGAAAAAATTTTAATTTTTTAAAGTAAAATCTTAAATTTAGGTATTATAAATGAAGAAACAAATATAAAAAGAATTTTTTTTCTTATAAAGTTTAATATGATTCAACTTTAAATTAATTAAAATTTAATATAATTTTTAAATATAAAAAAATATATAAAATATTGAAGGAGAAGAAATCTCTTAATATCAATAAATTTATTTTTATCTAATAATTAAAATTCTATAATTCAAAACGGTGAAATTACTCACAGGCACTTTTTCTTAGATTAATTGACTTGCCTAAAGGATAAAAAACTATCGACTATATTAATTTACAGTAAATATACTTGAAGTTAACGTCGTCGGTAATATGAATTTTTTGTTGCATTAGAACATCACTTTCACTTGCGTAATTAATAAATTAATTATACCAGGTGTCGCTAAGCTGTTTCCCTACCAATTACAGCGGGTCATGTAAGTTGATGGATTGATGCTCTTCGCCCATAATTAATTAATGTGTTAAGTAGAATTCCACCGATCGACCCATGGTGGCGTGTCTAATTGAGATCGGTGAGTTGTTTTTCAGATTTAAAAATTAAATTTTTAGTCGTTAATATTTAATAATATTAATTTATTAATTATTATTTTTATCAATAAAAAAAAATGTGTTAGGTAATAGATTTCGTCATTAGTAGTATATTTTAATTAGTGTTCTCTTCTCAGTGAAAGATACCATTGATAGTCTCTCCTTGCTGTACACATTTATTATACACAAAAAATAACCAATAAAACTCCAACAATCTCCTAAATTAGAAAAAAAAAATCTTATACCTTGATAAAAATAATAATAATTAATATATCTTTTGATTTAACATATTTAACAATACTCATCGATTCAATTATTACAAAAACTAATATTTTTAAATTTAAGACAAAAAATTTTTTAAAGAAAAATTTTAATGATTGAACCTATAAGTGTTGTTAAGC